TTAATTAATTGTAATTTTCTTGATTTATACATATAGATAATTTAATTAAAACCAAACAATTGGTATTAGAGTAAGTTTGGTTGTGATTTATAGAGTAGAAATCAAAAATAAAAGTATTGATATATTCAACTTACAAATTGTGTGTATAATTTCGCATCCATCGGTGCGAAATTCTGCCGGTGGATGTCTATTGATTAGATTCGAATTTAATTAGATGCATGAAGTTTAATCATCAGTCTTGGATCATATAATTATATGAAGTGGTTTGTGTGTGTGGGTTTCGAGGAACTGTGTTAACTCCAACCATGATTGGTGGCACTTGGATTTGCTCCGTCGATGCATTTACCATTGTCAATAAATATAAGTTGACATGGGACATTGGTATTGGTTTAAATATTCAGGCCATTTCTTTGATTGTTACAATATTATATTATAATTGATCAATTAAGGAATCATATAGTTACTGAATACGCATCTCTCATTCGGGAATCATGACCTGGTTACTGGGCAAATTAAGATGTAAGGTTATTTTATTAAATTTATTTCATTGGGTAATTCAAAAGTTTTGAATTACTTTTGAGTAGTATATATATTAAAATAAAATATTATAGTGAGTTTTTGATTACCTTACTACTTTGTGTAATAATATCATGTACATGTGTGAGATGAATCTTTGAATGCCCTGTGTGAGTGGTGTGGTTGATTAACTGGTTTTGTCCAGCACGATTAACAATAAAGGAAAAAGTAAAGGTGGTGTTTGTTTCTTATTAATTGGGTTGAGGACCACTATACAAAACTTAGTAGTAAAGATAGAAAAATAATAGCATGTTTATTCAGTTATCTAAAGTATAGCTCTTATGTGGCATGCTTATATATACTTTGCCAAAAGAATATTTTTTGAGTAACTTTACATTTACCATCAATTGTATGTGTTTAGTTTGTCCATGTTCTTTGAATATCCAACCTATTTTAGATTATTCAAGAAATAACTTAAATGTGATTTCTTGGATGTTATATTATACCAACAATTTATTAGTAAAGGAAGAAAAATTGAATATTTGATATCTCTATTATGAGGTATATTTGAGATCTCTGTTATGAGGTATTTATCTTAAATTACAAGCGCAACTGAATTTTTAGTTTAATGTGAAGTTGCATGGTAGTTTAGCCATACTAGTTCAACTTTAAATTGAATGACTTATGGGGCTTGCGTACCATAAGTGAGTATTATTAATCTGATTTATTTAAAGATTTAAGTTTTAATTGTTTAATTTTAGGTTGAAAAAATTGTAGGGCTTGCTTGCCATAAGCAAGCAGTATTAACCTAATTGATTTAAAGATTCAAATATTTTAAATTATTTATTGGATATATAATATACACGTATCAAATTTTTTGTTATTTTATTTCAATTAAAGTATAGAAAGAATTAAGATTTTTAAATCTTGATTGATGATGTGCATATTATTATATTGTTTATTGTAATTTCTCGATATATATGAGGAAGCTTAATTTTATTTGTGTTAAAGCCATTTATATTACAGTGAAATAAAGTGTTCCAAAATATTTGAGTTTAGTTTATATGAATTATAAAGAAATTGTTGAACTTAAATAAATGGAACTTCTGTAGCATAAGTTCTTCCATGGGGTTTAGGAAGACCGGTAAAGTGACCGTTTCAAATATGGTAGCTAAAGTGGGTGATGCCTGCCAAAAGGTGACATGCTTACGGAGGTTATTATTTTTTGAAATTTTAAGGCATTGGTCTTATTGAGATCTCACAGTGCACTTACCTACATTAGGTCATTTGTTCTGCCAAAAGGTGATCAATATCATAGTGTTGGTTAAGTGAGTAGAATATTTGAGAGTGCTTGGATTATAACTAAATAACCCACTTGCCAAAAAGGTAGTGTAAGTGTTTAACAATAATTTAAGCATAATCAAATAGGTCTATGTGCGATTTTCATCGCAGGTTTGGAGGGTAAAGTAAAATCTAAAATATTACTGCAAAAAGGTGATTTTTAGATGACATATTATCTATTTTTGCAGGGTGGATGGTTTTTGCACATAGTAAAACACCCTGAGAAATTTGGCTTAAAACTCCAAGCACAAATTAAAGTAATAATCACTAAAGTTGTGACATATTATTTTATATGTTACTTATGTGGTGTTATTCAATATAAAATTTATTCAGGTTATAGATGCTTCCGCAATTTAAAGATAATTCATAGGGATTGAACCATTGAATGGTTAAAATTATATTGCCTAGAAAACATGTTTTGATATTATATTGGGTTTCTTGGACTACGAGTCTATGCTTTTTTTGAGGAAGAAACCCATATGCCCAGTGTAGAGTCTTCTTAAATAGAAAAATTGTTACATTTTTAAGTGGACTAAAGGTACTACTATGCAATTACGTTAATTTATGCTTCTATTGGTGAAACTATTCATGGTGGTATTCTGGTTTTTGATACTGCCAAGGAGCTTATTGATTTGATTAAGAAAGAGTTAATAGGCATTGAAAAGCAACCACAATACTATTATTTGGCATGGTTTATATAAGTTAGATATGATGGAAACGGTTCAGTAAGGGAGTACATCTATAAGATGTGCAAGTTGGTTAATGATCTGAGGTAGTATGAAATCATATTTGATGATAAGTTATGAGTTCACATGGTGATTTATTTTTTGCTTAGGTTTTTTGAGGTTTTCAAGGTGAATTATAATTCATAAGAAGTTAAATGTGGCATTAACCAACTATTAGCACTTTGTGTGATTGAAGGGGAGCGACAATGTTCAAACTGAGTCAGATCATCTTGCCGTGACAGCAAGAATAGTTTCAAGAAGAAACTAGGAGGCAAGAAAGTGTATAAGGCTAAACAGAATAAAGAAAGGTAGAACAATACATGAAAAAACATTGATCATGGAATGATAAATGTTGGTTCTATAGAAATAAAAGGACATCAAAATAAAAAATAAAAAATGTTATTGTGGTGAAAAAGAAAAACAAAGCATGAAACAAAATTGCCATGTTAATATTTGGGCTTAACTTGGTAAAAGTACAGGTACAGACATAATGAATGGATTCGAATGTGATCCTACCTATTTCTTGTTTTTCTATAGACTCGACACATTTCGAATAAAATCATACTTTGGCTAGAGAGGATTCATCTATGTTATGCATAGAATTTTGGGTAATGTCTCTCAAAAGAAACTTGAACACTTGGTCAAACATGAGATTATTGGGCCACAAATTTTATGCGGTAGTTATGTCAAAGGACAGATACAAGAAACACAATTTTCGAGGCTAGTCAATCATTTGGTCTTTTGGACTATGTTTATATCGACATTTGTGATCCATTTCTTATTGTAACCCGTCTGCAGTAAAGACATTTCATTAACAAGTATAACATTGTCAATTGTAATTCATGTTCATATTGAAACTTTAGTTTCCAAATGTTATTTTTGTGTTCTATATCATGTCATAAAATATACAAAATCTCGAACGTATTAACTATGCATATCGTGAAAAATTCTCATTAGACATTGTGTGTTTATAATTAAGTGTTTTATTACATCTTTAATATTTTTCGTTCCAACTTTAATCTTTGATGTGTCACAAAAAAAGTGCATTAAAATGCTATTAGTTATTGAGTTCTTTGAATAGTAGTTTAACAATACTTCATCACTTCTAAAAGTAAAGATCCAGGATTCAAGTCTCTATAGAGATATTGTAGGTATATGAGTGTATTATTGCCAAAGAAAAATAGAACAGGAGAGCATTTACTTTCAGCCTATGCACATAGATGAAGTACTGTTTAAAAACCGTGAAACACCCTGGACTAAAAGATGGGTATGTTATATTTGTTTGATGTATTTAATTATTTTTTATTTTCGAAGTTGAACTAAAGCATGCACACACACATTATTCACATGCCCATAATGGAAATTGAACCCTCAAACACCCCATTAATTTGGAGAAGATCAGAGATTATACTACTGGGATGTAAGAATTTTGGACTTTCATTGAGTATTGTTTTGTCTTGAAATTTTTTAAAAATTCCAATGGATGATGGAGATAAAATAATAATTTATCGAATACCCTATAAGAATGTGATATGTGTTCACGTGTCACTCTCACACGCACGCTCAATACGGTTAGTCTAGTCCCATTGAACAAATGTCTGAATGGAAGGTTTAGAAGGTGGAAAACTAAAGCAGACGTGAGATCGCATAAATTTGGATATTGATAATCAGAGTATTTTATTATTACTTTCCTTGATGGTTGCATATCATAGGACGATGAGCAAAACAGATGAATTTATTTTTAGCTTCCTTCAGAGTCTATTAAGGGCTTTTACATGTATGTTAATTGGTTGATTATTATCAGTGACATATGACATTTGGTTAGACATGAAGCTAGAAAGCTTATCAATGATTTAATCTTATTAAGGGGTAGTTTGGCAATTGCTTTTGTTTCGTACTTTTGCTTTGATACGAAGCAGAAGTAATGTTTTGTATTATAGTGTGTTCAACACTATTTCGAAACTTTTTTGGTAACTTAAATTTGCTGTAATATTTTTGGAAGCAAAAACATGAAAACATATTTGGTAAAAAGTATTACAAGTTTGAATAATTGAATAACTAATTAAAAATGTTATTTTAGAATTTTTTTTTCTTTCTAAAAGTACTATTCTATCGTGCAAAAATTAACAAAAGTATCATTTTTATGTTTCCGATTTTAACCTCAATTTCAAAAGCACTTAATAAAAAATGTTACCAAACATGTTTTGTGCTTTTGCTTCGCTACAATACACCATCAAAATAAAAAAGAACAAAGCAAAAACACGGACCCTATATATTCAAAATTAGTGATCCAAATGCAAATGTCCAATATTATAATATATTAAATCATTATTTTACTCTCAAAATGAAAGAAGAAATATTAAACAATACTAACACACGACCACATGCCAGTGCCAAGCTGAATTATTTCTTGCTTTATTCAAAGGAGTTGGAGATGAAGTAAACTTCTCATCCAAATGGCTACATTTATATCAAGGTGCTTAGATTTATGATGGTGATAGAGAATAAGAGCTCTAACAGACGATTCTAGCGTAGTTGGATTTTTCATCTCCTAAGTAGTACGCAGACTAGCAAGAACACGGATTTGCAACAACGAGCAGAGGATGCTTTTTCTGGATGGTTATACCAGGGACTTCAGTCATGTCCAAATCCAGGCCTCTTGTTCCATTAGGCAATGCAAAATCAAACTTAAGCACAAGCTTTGCTACGGCAAGCTCATTAAGGGTCATGGCAAATAAAGTTCCTGGGCAACCCCTCCTGCCAGATCCAAATGGAATTAATTGGAAGTCCTGTCCTTTATAATCAATTGAAGTATTCAAGAACCTCTCAGGCAGGAACTCGTTAGTGTCTTCCCACAACGAGGGGTCTCTCCCAATTGCTGAAGCATTGATAAACACTTGTGTGCCAGCTGCAATATCGTAGCCCATTACTTTGACATCTTGGGTTGATTCTCGGGGAATAAGCAATGGGGCAGGAGTATGTAAGCGCATAGACTCCTTCATCACCGCTTTCAAGTAGTGCATTTTCTCTAGATCATCCTCCGTTATGTCCTCTTTGCCTTTGGCTATTTCTCGCACCTCATTCTGCAGTTTCTTCATGACTTTTGGATGTCTAAATAGTTCTGTCATTGTCCATTCTAGAGCTGTGTATGTAGTATCAGTTCCAGCAGTAAACATATCCTGCAAAAAAACCAATGATGTGTGACAAGTTTAAGAAGTAAATAAATGCAAAAGTTTGAGACACATTCAAGTGCTCATAGGTTACTCAACATAAAACATTACTTCAACTTAAAAGTAACAGTTTCAAATGCCAGAAAATTAACTTGTTAAAATATTTAAAGAAACAATAAGTTGAAGCCAGTATCACAATTAAATCATGCCAAGATGAAATGATTAAAGCGAGTAATTGAATTTTTGGGGGCGATAAAGTTGTACTTACTAGGATTATGGCTTTAATGCTGTCTCTGTTAAGGGGAAAGTCGGTACTCATGTTCTCTCTTTGAATTCTAAGTAAGACGTCTACAAAGTCCTTGTCGCCTTCGTCCTCAACATTTGTACCACCGTTGCTCTTTCTTAGTTGACTATCAATATGCTCTTCAACTACAGCCTCCATAAATTTATCAAGCTCATTAGCAACCCTCTCCACTTTAGCATTCAAACCATTTAAATGATTTAGCCATGCGAGCCAAGGGATATAGTCACCCACATCGAAAACACCCAACAACTCCATAAACTCCCCAAACAGCTCCTTTAACTTCTTGTCACCCCTTTCACTGTACTTCACTCCCAAGGCTATGCGACACACTACATCACTGGTGAGTGAGATAAGCATCTCCGTCAAATTCACTGGTGAAGAAGAAGAAGAAGAAGATCGTTTGATCTTCTCCACCAAAAGGGTTGTTTCTTCTTCTCTCACGGTGTGAAAAGACTGAACCGTTTTGTTGTTTAGAAGGTTGTGCACACAAATGCTTCTCACTTGCCTCCAATACTCTCCATAAGGAACAAAAGCAATGTCCTTGCCATAGAAAAGTCTACTGGCGATGCTCGATTTAGGCCTAGTTGAGAAGACGAGGTCATTGGTTTTCAAGATCTCGCTGGCTGCCTCGGCAGAGGAGGCAATGAGAACTGGTTTGCTGCCGAGATGAAGCAGCATGAGGGAGCCATATTTTTGAGCTAATGATTGGAGGGAGCGATGAGGAAACAAACCGAGTTGGTGGAGATTTCCAATAATTGGGAGCTTTGATGGAGAAGGTGGAAGATTTGTTTTGGTTTTTGGGTTGGAGAACCATTTCAGAAGGAAGACTAAAGGGAAGAACAAGGGAAGAAGAGTGTAAAAGGAGTGGAATAAGAACAACATTGCTTAGAATCTGTCTTGGTACATTGTTTCGACTGCTAGCTGCCCTGCATTTATATAATGAATGAAGCTAGTTGTGGTGTTGAACCATCCTAAATCTGGTTAACATTTTTTAAAATTAGTGGACCATTAACGTAATGTAAATTTATTCAATCATATCAATATGTCTCGTTAGTGGTGATCACCAATTTTTTTTTTTTTTTAAAGCATTCCCTAGATTACAAAACATTTTAAGCACATAATTAACATGAGATAAATTATGACACGATGCTTTTTATTTCTCAAGTAGCATTAGGAGAAGGCAACGTCGGCTTCTCAAGACTATTAATTACACTATTTTATATGTATATGGATAGTATTGATCTGGCGGTCATGGATTGAAAATTAGAAAACAATTTCTCACAAACTAAAATAAGGTGGCGACCTTCTAGCTCTCTTCTTACACGTAATGTTGAGAAATATCACGCACCGGGTTTAGCTTTTTACTGCAGGTACTACCGTGGAGTATTCCAACTACTGAATATTCATTATTACCATATTCTCTCACATGTTTGTTCTATAATAATTTGCAATAATAATAATAATAATAAAATAAATATATAAATAATATTTTTGGGCCGAATTAATGTAAGCAAAAGAGATTAGATGTCTACAAGGAACGAACGTTACCTTGAATCAACAAGATAGGGTACCTTGAATTCACAAGAAAAAATAAAATTCACAGATAAAATGAAATAATGTTCTGTAATGCAGTACATATACTTACAAATAAGAAATCCTAACAACATAAGAAGAAAAAAAAAAATTCTAAAAATATAAAGAAACTTGCAATGTAATAAAAATTGTTCAAAAACAAATTTGCTCCAAAAATTTAAAAAAAACTAAAGGAAAATTTGCTTGCGTGTGAAATTATTATGTAAAGTTAGTGGCAACAGGTCACTCTCAAGTCCCACGCGATAGATTTTTTCTCAAAGTAATTCGACAATTCAGCTCACATGATAATATATTTTTATAAAATGATTTGGCATTTTATTATCATGGGTTGCACCAATTTGTCGTCTTCTAACACCTACAATAATATAAAATGCATTTTCATATATCACACTTGGGAAATCGATATTGCGAATCTGCGATACCTTATCAAATGATGCAAGAAACAATCTTTGCTGCATATAAAACAACGTGTCATATATTTTTGAATTTGACATTTTAAATTGTGAGAAATGTACCTCGAGACGTGGAACCTCGAGACCATTAAAAAACATGCGCTTCACGTGGTTTTTTTTGTTTGGATAACGGCATCTTCTAGACGTGCGACGTGGCTAGACAATTCTGAATTCTAATGACGCGATTTTTTATTGAAACGGTGGACTGGGGTCTCGTTCAACTCCTTGATGAATTGCTGGAATGGCTTGAGGACTCCTGATCGAGCTGGACGATGCTGAGCACGAGTGATCAGTCTAGGTGTACTGAAACTCGAAGGACACGTGGTACTGTTGACTGTATGTGGGTAATGTGGCCAAAGCTACATGTTATGAGTGCAAACAGGACTCTCAGAAGAAAAAAGCTGAAACTAAAATTAAGTTTGGAAAGTGAAATCAAAGAATTGGAGTCATGATTTACCAAGCCCAAAAAGAAAAAAAAAAAAGAAAGAAGAAAAAAAGAATTGTAGTCATGATTGCTAGAATTGCACAAGGGGATTCCACGATGAAAGGTGTGGGTTTGGGATAGGGTTACAATTCGGGCGGGTCCAATCCGAAATAACCCGAATCTAATTCGAAATTTTGTGAGTTTAGGCAATGTTTTTCTAATTTCGGTTTGGGATTGAGCAATATATTTTAAGTCCGAATTCAATTCGGTCTGGACTTAAGTTGATATGGATGAAGCCTGAAACCCGACTCGAGCCCAGAAATATCATATATATTTATAACTAGACATAAATCATAATAGTGTGGTTACGAATGGCAATTTACCCCAACCTGGTGGGGAACCGCCCCGCCCTCGCCCCTGCCCCCGCCCCGTTTAAAGCGGGTTTGGAGAACCGTTTATTTAAATGGGGTAGGGATGGGAATTGAGAAAAAAAAACCGACCGTATTCGGGACGGGGGCGGGGGCGGGGGAGGGGTACCCCCATCCGGCAACTGTCCCGATTACATATGGAATTACTCCTATTAGTCCCTGTCAGGTTATTGTACTTACCAATTTAACATATTATATATATATATATATATATATATATATATCATATTATATTATATATACACTTCTAAATAAACTCTATTCATTTATATCTTCCAAAAGCAGCAACCGAGAGATGAGAGCCTAAGAACGTAGCTGTGAGTGGCGCGACGAAGCGAATGTCCTACGGCCTCCTTCAAACCTTCACCATCATCAAATTTTCTCTCTCTTTTTCTCCGGCCACATATCTCCACAACCTTAGCTGAGCGATGAAGCGAATTCCTTCACCATCTTTAGATCTTCTCTTTTTCTTTGGCCACAGATCTCCATGGCCTTAGCTGAGCGATGAAGCAAATTGACATTTCTCAGTCCCTCACCATCATGTGACCTCCTTCAGTCCTTCACCATATTCTTTCTCTTCTTTTCTGGCCATAGATCTCTGATCAATGTTAAGATCCTAGTCATATATATATATATATATATATATATATATATATATATATATATATATATATTGAAGTAACAAGTTCTAGCTTTTCACAATTGGGTTTTGTTTTCACAGTTTGATTTGATCATCTAGTTTTTACTTTGATTCCCTTTCACAGCTTGATTTTGTAGCAATAAGAAACTGAAAAAACCCTCAAATTTAATTGGGGGCGGGGGATAGGGCGGGGGCGGTTATTGGGATTAGAGGTAAAAAATAATCAGTTATGGGGCGGTTTTGGGGGTGCCAAATTTAAACGGGACGGGGATGGAGAATGAGAAATCCACCCCATTGCCATCCCTTAGTGTGGTAGCCAAGTTTGTAGTGTGCTTGGGATTTATGCTGAAGGTTTTAAGTTCAAGTTCTAGTAGTAAGAACATAAATTGTTCTTATTTTTATTCATAAATTCTTCTGAGGCAGACTCGGGTGGGGTAAAAATGGAATAGATTTTAGGTTTTTGGAGCATTTGCAAATGAAAGTGGAAGAGGCAGAGATGGTAAGGGACAAGGATTTTATGTATAAGTTTATCTCCAAACTGTTTATAACAACGCATTAGAAATATTCGGTGAGTAATTCATCATTTTTTGGGGGAGATGTGAATGAGGTGGTGGTGGTGGAGGATGGCAGAGTTGTTGTAAAAGGGTATTTAAGACATTAAATTTAAAATGTCACTAATTGGTAATTTTTTTTTTAAGTTTGGTCACTTTTTATCTATTCATGAGTTTAAGGCCACCTTAAAGCAAAATATTTTCAATTTTTGTCACCAAAATCTAATTTTTCCTAAATATATTTTTGTATCAACTTAGTTATAAGCTTCTAAAATATTTATTGTAGTATATAAATATACATACATACATATACATATATATATATAATCACAAATGGGACTTCTTTATTGAAAGCCCTTTTGATTTTTTTTTTTTTCAATTAATTTTCATCACATTGGTTTAGTTTGAGGGTTGATTGGAACAAGAGCCGTAAAAATTTGGATTTTAGTTTGTGATTGAATGGAATGGGTTTTAATTTTGAAGATGAAAAAGAGGGAAGGAGATGGTGCTTAGTGGTGGTCGTGGTGGTCGTGTAGGAGGAGATGGTATGGTAGAATTTGGGGGGGGGGGGGGGGGTGGTAGTGGTGGTGGTATGACGTTGAGAGGTTGTGGTCGTTGTGACGGCCCAAGTTTTTCATCCCGGTGTGTTAGTGATGAACCGAAAGATGACCCGATAACAGATCCGAAATGCGAAAGCAAAAGATAAAATAACAGTCTCTAGAGATACAACATGGCTCTAAGACACCATTATGACCCTCAACGAGGTCACGGAACCCAAAGGAATCAAATGAGGAAGCAACATTTCAAAAACGAACAAGAAAGAACCTAGGGGCAAAATTGTCATTTCCAGCTTAAAAGTGGGTGTCACCGAGCACACCATTGGAAAGATAATGAAAAATTAATGAATTTAGACTCAAGAATCGCTTGATTGGGAGTTCGGATGAAGAAGATATGGCTAACAGAAGAAGAAGGGGCAAAACGGTCAAAATGTGCCAACCCAAGAACATCTAACCGGTTAGGAGACCTTCCTAACCGGTTAGGAGGCCAAAAATCTCACCAAAAACACTGCCCATGCACATGTAACCGGTTACGAAACCCCTCGTAACCGTTTACATGTGAAGAGGGCAGTAAACTGCAACCCAAAAACTTGGCAGTAGGGGTTTTTTGGGGAAAAATGGAAATTTGAGCGCCTAGATGACATTTTCTGAAAAAACTCAAAAAAGAAACCCCCCTCAAATCGAGTTTTCTACGTGACTCGTGAGAAAAATCGAAAAAAACTCAATGTGAAATGCCCAAAATAGCCTCCTAAGGAAACTGGTCCAGAGGGTCCAAAAAGCTGCTAAATTTAAAAACTGAAAGCTGAAATTCAGATGCGATTTCCTATGCCAAGATGGAATTTTATGAAAAAACACGAAGAAGAAACCCCCCCTAAAATCACATTTTCTAAGTGACCATATGAAGAATGGAATTTATTTCCTAAATAAAATTTCCAAAATACCCTTAGGTCAGAATATGCAACAAAAATGAAAAATGAGTCCGTTGGGGGCTTATTTCACCAAATAAGAAGTTTTGCCCGGAAATGACCATGGACACAAACGTAACTTACCTAGTAAGATATGCTACAATGGTCCGTGGCCCAAAAATATGGCCGATGCAAAATATGACCCTCCAACGGCCAAAATGCCAAAAACAAAGTTTGGAACGAAAACTTGGAATTTAAAATCATGAGATGGTTTCAAAATGCCGCTTGGCCCTTGGCCACATTTCATACATGGTGAATGAATGCTAATGGAAGAATCAAAATGGAATTCCCACACCCAATGCAAACATAGTGAAGCAAAAACTCAATACTTTTCAATACTTTCATAATATTCCATGAAGTCAAAATTTACATAGGATACAAATTACATGTCATTGGCCTCCGGCCTCA